CGCGGCGGTTTGGGAGCCGGGTCCCATCCCTGGCCCGCGCTCCCCATTTCCGTCACTATACCCTATAAGAATTTTTGGGGAATCTCCATCTCTGTCCCCGTTAGGGGTCTACCTCCCAAACCCGCCATGAATCCCCAATTTATTATTATTTTTAAATTCATCCTACATTATAATACTTATCTTTCACCTTAAATTATCATTTAACTCAATTACATTCAATTGAATTATAAAATTCAACTTATTAACTCAAAATAATCTCAATTCAATTTGATAAAACTAAATAAATTTAATATTATATTGTATTCATACATGGTTATATTATATTATATACTACTTAAAAATAAATATATTACTTATTGGGACGGGTTCGGAGATGTGGATAACAATACCATCATTGGCCTGTCCCTGATCTGGGATTTTTAAAATTCGGGGATCCCTGTACCCGCCTTCGATTTTCCCCTGAAATATCCCACTATTAGGGTCTGAGATTTGATTGGAACCCGACCCGACGAGGATTTATGTCATCTCTAATTTGGATGTAGTAATTGAAAATTGCATAGAATTCTTAACTCTCTGTTTGGATGGAGGATAATAACTCGGACTTTAGCTAAAAGTTGTGAATTTATATTTTCATTGTTTGGTAACTTAAGCAAGGAACTTATTAAATGATGGGCAAAAAAATCGTGGAAATTGTAATTATGTTTTAATTATTATTTATTTAGTAAATAATTAATGTTTAAATATTTTGAAATTTTCATAAATTACTTAATAAATAATAGTTAATTATTTTTAATTATTTTGTGCACTTTTTTATTATTTATTTATATACAAAATTAGTTTGTTTAGTTTAATATTTGCAATTAAGTGTGCATTTACCAACCATTTAAAAACTTATTATTATACCAACAACACTTTTAACAAACAGTTTACCAAAAGCCAAGAGGTTTTCTCTCACAGCAAATTTGACATATATTATTTTCATAACACAGTAATGTCAAACTAGCCCTAAGTAATATCTTAGCCTTATTTAATTATTATTTATTTAGTGGATAATTAGTATTTAAGTACTTTAATTAATTTCATAAATTACTTAATTAACACTAATCAATTATATGTACTTAAAATTATTTTAAAATTTTGACTACATTTAAAAAATAGTTTGAATTATTTAAGAATTCTATAAAATTCTTTTAGTATTCCAAAAATGAATTTTAGCCTCCAAGCCCTTAATCCAAGTCTCGAACCAAATGAGAGTCCTTTTTCATATTTTTTTTTTAATAGTATAGCCGCGTGGTTATACTATAATTTTTTTAAAAGTATAGCCGGATGGAATTGAGGACTCGCTCTGACCAATTTCCTAATCTTGAGGCTATTGACTTGGTTCATACGGCACCGTCTCCATGCAGAACTTGCCAGAATAAAGTGGATGCTATTCGTCGTTTGGAGGCACAAAATAAAATCCTCGGTTCTATGGAGTTGGAAATTCAGCATGCAAGTCATGGTTCTTCTTTAGTGCGATATAATGGTGATCAAAGTGAAAGGATAAACAGGGAGAGCGTCGATGTTGCGACCACTATTGTATGCAACGATGATACTCTAGAGATAGTTAAAATTCCTATTAATATGTGTGAGGAGCCTATGGGAGAAGTAGACCCCACCACCAATAATCTAGCAACCACTCTAGGTACGATGCCCAGTTGATTTTCTTGGTAGAAAAAAAGAATGAAAAAGGGTGAAAGTACAGACAATATTAACCTTATGTTTTGGTGTTCTTAAAGATATTGTTTACATGATGCCAACTTTAACTGCTTAGTGTTTTGCAAAACTTACCGCAAGGTACTCATCTTCTTCTGGACCACCAGACGTCGATTTTGACTCTGTAGATATATATTCAATGGTCAAGATTGTGCCATGTGCCACATGCCACATAAGATCTGCATATATCGTTTATAGCCTAAATTGTCTCCAATTTCATAGATGTTTATTTTTTTTATTTTTTAATAATAAAAAAAAGTTTAGATATTGTAAGAAAACTATTATTTTTAACAAGTTTAGATATTGTAAAAAAAAAGTTTAGATATTGTAAGAAAACTATTATTTTTAAAGCGATAGTGTAACTTCTGGTTTACAAGTCAATGCTCTTTTCTTGGTGTAAAGAAAACTACTTAAATACCCTTAAAAGGTGATTTACATGGGCTAAAGAAAAAGAAATGATACAATAGCGGACCAAATTTCATTTATTTTTTCATTGGTGTTTCATACAAAAGCTGGAGATATACAAGTAGAGTACAGAGAGAGGGAGAGTTAAGTCAGAGCGATGGTGGTGAGTGGTAAGTGCTGGTTGGTAATTGAGAGGGAAGGGTTTGTCTGAAATAGAATTAATTTGGCTTTCACTTTTAAATTG